CACACTGTCCTGCTGCCACAAATATTCACTGCAGCACCAAATGTGGATTAATCCGCCACTGAAAGTAGTCCCCAACAGAAGCACTATTTAAAATTTATTTTAATAATTTATTCATAAAAACTACAGTGAGCAACTGTCTCATGGAATTATAGATATATATGTGTGAGCTGCAGATTTACTGTGTGTTCAGTAAGAACCAACAGGTTCAGCTGAGAGCCACAGACGGGGGGGGGGGGCATCAGACAGATGGAATAACACAGTGTTGGTCTTTGGGTCCACACATGCTCTGAATTATCATTTTAACAGTCAGTAGTAATGTGCAGTGAGTCTATAGTACAGTTTATTCGGTACACCTAGCTCAGTGATGTGTAAGGTTTATTTTCGTTTAGCTCGTCCTGCATGTTCTGACATTCCGACGCTTGTTCCATCGTCTCTATGGTTACAACATAAATATATTTTTTAGCATTTTACAAAAAAAGGCCCGGTCGCCATTTTTTTCTACATTTTTGACATCGAAATCAAACAAGAATAACGATATTTTCAAGTCAATACACAATTGTTAAGACATTCCACACCTGTCCCAGGAAACTGAGCACGTTCTCAATGTCTAATAATCATTTTACACCAAGAAAACGCCAAGTATCAGTCAAAAATGTGTTTTCCTAACAGACCCACGAACATTCTATTAATGTTTTATCTTTACATTCAACAACTTACATTAATTTAGTGTTAGTGTTGAACTGAAACCACCTTTTCGGGAAGATGAATAAATGCATCTGGCATAAAAGTAGAAGAAGTCTTACCTGCAAAGGGTGTGATCCACTCGGGTCAGCAGGTGCTCCTCCATGGAGGGTCCATCCAGAGCCGTGTTGTCAGCAGGTGAAATTTGCAGGAGTTTTCCGCAGGTGTCTCTTCAGTGTAGTTTTCCAAGCGTTTGTTTTCCAGAGGAGCTTTTTCTGTTTCTGGGAGGTTTTCCGCAAGAGTTCAACTTTACAACAGACAGGTTCTGCATCGGGTTAACTCAGGTCAAGTCCCAGAGCAAATGAGAGAGTGGACAGGTCTGCAGCTCTGACGTCACCTCGGTCAAGCGTCACCATTCTGTTGCCATCACTATTACAGAAGTGATGTGGTAGTGCGGCATGTGTGTAGTGTGTGTGTTTGTGTGTGTGTGTGTGTGTGTAGTTGTGTGTGTGTTAACAAGGTCCATGAACTCCACCCTTTTGATTCTGGTGTCACCACACAGTCAGAACCTTCACCCCCCTTCCCTCCCTTCCCTCCCTCCTATCCATAAACCCCTGTGGTACGGGCTGAAATATAAACCCAACACATTGGACCATCAAGGCTCGTCAAAGTTCATCGTGGTCTCTTCGTTAAATTTCCTCTTCGTTAGTTAGTGATGGCCTGCTGCCCACAAACATGTTCCAGTTGGCCAGAATCTCCTTCTTGGGTTATTTTTCTTCGTCCTGTTTGGTTCATTGACTTTGTGATTGAGAGGAGGAGCGAGGAGGAGAGGAGGAGAACAAGAGGGTGATGAAGAACAGGAGTGAGAGACAGACACAGAGAGGAAGCTGTTAATAATTTAACCACAATTCTCCCAATTATTTTCACCCATGTTAATCAGTAGTTCATGTTGTTGATCATGTTGCCATGGAGCAGTGTGTGTAGAGTACAAGTGAACAGTTTTTACTGTGTGTTACCAGTGTAGTTCAGGTTCAGGTCCTGGTCCTATTCTTTATTCTACAATTCATTCATTTCGGTCCTTTCAACCTTGCTTTTGATTGGTTTGATGTAATATTCCTAAAAAAAAATGTTTTTCCCTCGAAAAATTGAACCATTTTTAATTCTCATGAAAATGCGAGTTTATTCTTATTATTATCGTCTGATTTTCAGAATTTCGGTTGTTTGCCTAATGTGAACCTTAATTACTCCCGTTCGCGCTGAGCTTCACACAGGTACATCCAACAGATTATCATCCATTAACTATATTATTGTCTATTGTCTCTCGCACACGCACGTCTGTAATAAGTGATGGCAAACAGAAATGGTGACGCTTGCCGAGCACGCTAGGGTTGAAGTCAGAGCTGCCGACTCCCCATGTCCACTCTTCTCATTTGTCTGGAAACTTGACCGGAGTTAACCCGATGCAGAAAAACCTGTCTGTTGTAAAGTTGAACTCTTTGCGGAAAAAACCCTCCCCGGAAACAAGAAAAAAGCTCCTCTGGAAAAACAAAACGCTTGGAAAACTTTACACTGAAGAGACAACCTGCGGAAAACTCCTTGCAAAATTTCAACCTGCTGACAACACGCTTGGAATGGACCCTCCATGGAGGACACCTGCTGACCCGAAGTGGATCACACCCTTTGCAACGTGGGTGGGTTGGCGGTGGGTGGTAAGAAACATCTTCTACTCGTTTATGCCAGATGCATTTATTCTTCTTCCCAAAAAAAAGGTTGGTTTCAGTTCAAAACACTAGCCACTAAATTAAATTGTAGTTTTGAATATAAAGATAAAACATTAACATAGACATGTTAGTGGGTCTGCTTAGGAAAACACATTTTTGACTGATACTTGGCTTTTCTTGGTGTAAAATGATTACTTAGACACTTGAGAACGTGCTCATTTCCTGGACAGGGTGTGGAATGTCTTAACAATTGTGATTGACTTGAAAATATCGTTATTCTTGTTTGATTCGATGGCAAAAATGTAGAAAAAAATGCGACCGGGCCGCTTTTTGTGGTTAAATGCCTAAAAAATCATATTTATGTGTGTTAACCATAGAGACGAAGTGGAAACAAGCGTCGGAACGGTCAGAACTGCAGGACGCCAGCCCAAAACACGAAAATAAAAACTTACACGTCACTGAGCTAGGATGTATACCTACATAAACTGTACTATAGACTCAACTGCACATTACTACGGACTGTTAAAATGTAATCAGAGCATTGTACCCAAGACCAACGCTCTATTCCATCTGTGCTTGATGTCCCCCCCCCCCGATCTGTGCTTCTCAGCTAAGCCTGTTGTTCTTTACTGAACCACACAGTAAATCT